TTTCTGCTAATTCAAATTCATATAAAACCTCCATTATAGCATCTGTTATATTAATTCCATTATGACGAACTGTCATTGGAATAATATCAAGTAAAAATGTTTTTAATTTCTAAGAATCATCAACATAATGAATTGTAAGACTAAGAAATGCTGTATTGTTAGATGCAGTCCATATATCACTAGTGAAAGCTACTTTTCCTGATATTTTATTTGTTACTAATTTTACTTGCTCTCTTTTACTTTAAAATAATGCTAATATTTGATCTTTAATTGTATGTCGATTATGAAATCAATATTTAGGATCAAATTTATTGATCATTTGTTTCCATTCCTCATACTCTACAATACTGAAAGGTTGTATATCACATATAATCCAATTAATAACATATTTGTCACGCTCTTGCTATTTATTTTCAGAATGTGAATCATTGCGATAATCATGTAAGATTCTTTGTCGTTACTTAGGTGCTACGATTTTATGAGAATTAGGTGTCTTTTTAAAGAAGAAGTTCCTGTTGATGATGAAAATACAGTTTTGCATCCCTTACAAGTAGGACGATTATTGTTAAGATCAAAATGCTTCTATACAGTTGATTTAGAAATTCCTTTTTGTTTTGACCTAATAGATTGCGATATTATTAATTCCTCTTGAATATCAGAATTGGCATCATCATCTCTTATTTCATCATCTTCCTGAAAATCTTCTTCATCTTGAATAATTGTAGCATTATCATCTTTAATAAAATAAAATAATGTGTAAGAAAAAAAGAAAGCGTGAGAATTATTTTTTAAAAAAAAAAAAAAAAAATTTAACCTTGATTTTCCATTTTGCCGCCGCTAAACAATTAAAGTTAATGTTAAAAGTAAAATCTGCGATTGTTACATAAATAAAAATTTTATGTATCACAGATCATCATACTATATATGTAAATTACAATATAATAACCGGTTCTAGACTGGTTTTCAGTATATGGACTGAAGACCGCAAGACCAGTCCAATTAACCGGTCTATGATCGGTCTTACTAGGACTGATCCAACCCTAACTTATATAGGTTTTATGATATCATATTTTAATTTATTCATATAAAGAAATATAAAATTATTATCGAAATAGTTGTCAATAGAGACTATAGATAACAGATAATGATTAGCTATTTTTATTAGATTTTTATATTAATCACTTGTAAGTGAAAAGATTAAAGGGTTGTAATTAAGATTAGAGTCAAGAGATTTTTTTAGTATATAATAATATTTGTTAAGTAATTTAATATGTCGATAAATAGAAAAATTAATATAGGTATATAAAAATTTATGTTGATGAATAGTTGTTTATTTAGGAAGGTGTTTTTTGCGAAAATAATTATAGTATAAGAAAAAATTTCTAAGTATGGTGGTTGTCACCTATAATCGACACAGTCCGAAATTTCAAAATAGCGATAATCACGTGATTTTATATTACTTCACGTGACTTTGTAAATCAAAATGTGCTTTATTGATTTATTTTTATTGATTTAACTCTGCTAATATATAATCAGGAATACAACGATGAGATTTGTACTTTTTGGCGGCATACTCTGCCAACTTACCGGTGATTCCTTTTTTATATAAATCCATATACCTCCATGCTTTTCTTGCAAACTTTCTTATTGTAATTATACTAACAGACTCTAAAGCTGCAGGAACAGTACG